ATGCTGCAGCTGCTGCTGCTGTGGATACTGCAGCTGCTGCTGCTGCTGTGAGTGGGCGCCTTGGCGTCGTTTCTCCTGCCGTTTCTTCTGCTGCTGGTGCTGCTGCTCGTGCGGCTGCTGCTGCTGCTGCTGCTGCTGTGGGTCTTCAGCGCGGTGCCCATGGCGTTTCAGCGCTCTTTACATTTGCGGTGGTTAGACTCTATTCTTATTAAAGGACTCAAACAAGTAAGTGCAGTGCTGCTGCTGCTGCTGCTGCTACTGCTTCTACTGCTCTTGGTGCAGCTGCTGCTGCTGTTGGTGCTGCTGCTGTTCGTGGCGTGGAATGCTTCTTGTGTTGCTGCTTCTGTTTTCTGCTGCTGCCGCTGCTGCTGTTGCTGCTGCAGGGCAGCGAGGAGCTGCAGCGAGACGTGCAGCAGACACTGAGCCGGCTGAGCTGCAGCAGCAGCAGCAGCAGCAGCAACAGCAAAGGGCTTTTGAATTACTCTCTTGGAAGGCCGCAAGATGAGCAGCATTTACTTTTTGCGGATTTTTATTTTAAAGAATTAAATTTGGCAATTGAATGTGACGCTTTAAACCCTCTAGGTATATTTATTTATTTATTTTAATTATTTAACTAATATATTTATTTAATTTAAGTTATTTAATTTATTTATTTATTTTGTTTGTTTTGTTTTGCTTATTTAATTCATTTTCTTTTGTTTATTTGCTTTTCATTTGGTGTATTCTTGTCCGTCATTTAGGGTTTAGGGTTTAGGGTTTATTTGTTTTCCCCCTCATTTCTGTTTATTTTCTTCTGCGCATTTATACTTTATTATTACAATTTATTAATTGCCATTCATTAATTATAGTTTACTTATTTTAATTAATTAATTACAATTAATTAATTAGTAATTAAAATAAATTATAATTATTTCTATTTATTCTTTATTTCCTTCTAATCACTTTTCAGTTTTTCATTTTAATTTTCATTATTTAAAATTCTTCTTGCTTTAATTTTGCTGCGTTCCCCTTTTCCCAATTCCTGTGGCTTCACCTGCTGCTACTGTTGCTGCTGCTGTTGTTGCTGCTGCTGCTGCTGCAGGGCCGGGGCGTCCGAAGCCTTCTGGTTTGTTGGCTTGCAAAAAACGCATTTTCAACAAATTGGGAATTAATGTTGCGCTTATTCACAAGTAATGCTGCTGCTGCTGCTGGCCTTGCTGCTGCTGCTGCTGCTGCTGCTGCTGCTGCTGGTCTTGCTGTTGCTGCTGCTGCTGCTGCTGCTGTCATAGCTGCTGCTATAGCTGCTGCTGCTGCCGATATAGGTGCTGATGCTGTTGTACTTGCTGCTGCTGTTATAGCTGCTGCTGGTGTAGGTGCTACTGCTGCTGCCATTATAGCTGCTGCTGCTGTAGGTTGTACTGCTGCTGCTGCTACAGCTCTTGCTGCTGCTGCTACAGATATTACTGCTGCTGCTACAGACCATGCTGCTGCTGCAACCGCTCGTATGGGGGCTGCTTTTCTGCTGCTGCTGCTGCTGCGATAAGCAGCAGCTGTCTGACAATTGGCACTTCAGGGATTGAAGAAATGAAGTTAATGGCATTGTTTGGAATTAATAAAACAAATAAAGGAAAAGTAATGCCATTTAATGCTGCAGGTGTTTGTGGGAGAGATTGTCTTTTGGGCAAAAAGAAAATCAGCTGAGTCGTTTGCTGGCGCAGTTTTCGGGTGTACGTACACCTGAAGAGCGCGGGGCGTTGTTGGGAACTGGAAAAGGCGATTTGAACCATTTAAAAGAATTAAATGATATAAATGAATTAAATGATTTAAATAATTTAAATAATTTAAATTATTTAAATGATTTAAATTCGGCTAAAAAGGAATATCAGAAAAAGACGAACTTCTTGAGACACAAAAGAACCCCCTTCACCAAATGGCCGCCAGACTCCATCAGCGTTTGAAAACCCTTCATTTATTTCTTTTTTAATTCTTTTTATTTATTTATTTATTCATTTTATTTATTTATTTTAGTTTAGTTTTGTTTTATTTCACTTCAAAAACAAAAAGAGCCAGTTGGCGAAGTTTTTCGAAAACGCCTTTTTCATTTCCCCGCCACTTTGTGGTTTCATCTTTTCCTGTTTTGTTTATTTTAATTTATTTATCTATTTCTATTTTATTATTTATTTATCCATTTAACTCAACTTATTTATTCATTTTATTTATTTATTCTTCTTCTGTTTTCAAATTCTTTATTTCTTTCTCCAGTTCTTTCATGAAGTCCATTCGCGCCGTCCCCACTGGAGTCATTCCGTCCTGTGTACAGACAGCACTTAATGAAATAAATAAAATAAAACAAATAAATAAATAAAATTAATTAAGAGTAAATAATCAAATATAATAAATAATATATTTGGATAAATGAATTAAAATAAATAGTAAATAGTAAATAAATGCAAGAGTAAAAAACGAAAATAAAAATTAATTTGAGAAGTTCAGCAGACGGGCAGCCAAACAAAAAAACAAATAAATGAAAAAGCAAAATAAACAATGAAACAGAGAAAATGAAACAAACAAACAACTAAATTACATTAAACTAATCAAACTAAATTAGACAGATAATTAAATTAAATTAAATTAATTGTTTTAATTAATTTAATTTAACCAATTAAATTAATAAGTTTAATTAATTTAATTAAAAACGAACTTTATTTTTTTCGTCTTCGAGATGCGGCGCTGCCTGCGCGATTTGCCAGTAGACATCTGCTAGTCCTGAATTCTGGAAATGAAAAATAAAAATAAAAGAATAAAAGAATAAAAATAAATAAAAAAGAATTAAAACGAATTAAAATGAATTAACAATTTTTAAATATTCCGGGAATAATAAACTGAAAAAACAGCTGAAAAACGGTGCAAAATAACCCCAAAACACCAATTTAGGGTTTAGGGTTTAGGGTTTAGAATTTACCACAGCGAGGTGCAGCAAGTTGTCTCCCGTGCCTGTCTCCTTAACCTGCAGCAGATCGCTTCCAAACCCTAAACCCTAAACCCTCGAAAAGGGCGCCCGCGCCGAAAGTGCCTGAAAGCTCAGGGATTAGGGTTTAGGGTTTAGGGTTTAGGGTTTACGTTGAGGTCAACTCCCGGCACCGTCAGCAAGAAACTGATGACAGCTTTTCGCCCGGCGCAGATAGCGCGGGACAGCGCCGTGTGCTGCACCGCAAACCCTAAACCCTAAACCCTAAACCCTAAACCCTAAGTTCTACTGGTGCGATGGTGCCTAAACCCTAAACCCTCGACTCACATTTCCATATCCCTTTTGGTTCACGTCGGCGCCGTGCTCCAGCAGCAGCTTCACTATGTCGAGGTGGCCTGCGCGCAAACCCTAAACCCTAAACCCTAAACCCTAACAGCAGCAGCAGCAACAGCAGCACCGCAGCAGGGCAGCGGGAGCGGCGATCCCCGGCGCGAGCTAGCGACGTCCCCAGGCCCTGGTAACCCCTGGGCCCGAAACCCTAAACCCTAAACCCTAGATTCGGGTTTACGTGCCTTTGGAAGCCGCGTAAAGAAGAGGACTTCCTCCGGTGTCTGTGAGCTGGTCAAGGGGCCCCCTCGGGGCTTCTGGTGGGGCCCCCCGGGGCTTTTCGGAGTCCTCCTTTTCATTTGTTTCATTTATTTCACTTATTTCATTTATTTTATTTATTCTATTTATTTCTTTTGACTTGTTTGCTTCGATTTGGCACTTTATGAACGGCAGCAGCAGCTCCACCCCCTCCGTGAAGCCCCGCGCACAGCATGCATGCAGCGCGGTGACCCCCCCCTGGCAGCAGCAAAAATGCGAAAAAAGCGCCATTTTGCGTTTAATTTTCAATCAATTTCTCCAATTTTAATTTTAATTAAATAATTTGTCAAAATAAATCCATTTTAGCCCCAAAACGCGCCCAACTGCGCTGCCGAGCACTTCAGCCGCGGCCGCTCTGCCGCTGCTGCAGCAGCAGCGGCAGCAGCGGCAGCAGCAGCAACTCCCCACAGAGGCAAAGGCCCAATTCTAATCCAAAATAAATTTAAAATATTAAATTAAATCATGGTAATCACAAATTGAAAAAGGAAGGAGGAAATAAATCATAAAGGAACGAAACAGAAAAGCAGCTGCAGCAGCAGCAGCAGCAGCGACATCCAGCGCCGTTGGAACAAATAAATCACAAAAAAATAAAACAGGAAAGCAGCAGCAGCAGCACCAGCAGCAAACACGGCAAGCAGCAGAAGCAGCAGCGGCAGGAGACGCAGCACAAGCAGCGGGAAACGCCGGCGCAGCAGGAACAGCAGCAGCACAAAAAGCAGCAGCAGCAGCAGCAGGGGGCCGTACCTCGTCAGCAGCAGTGGGGTCTGCGCCGTGCTGCAGCAGCAGCAGCATTGCTGCTGCGTCGTTTGCTGCTGCTGCTGCATGCAGCAGCAAACGATTGTCTTTGTCTCTAAAAGACACAGCAGCTTCAATTAATTCTTTGTCTCCTTTTTCAAACACTTCCGCCAGCAGCCCCGGGGGCCCTTTCCCCGCCTGCCGCAAACCCTAAACCCTAAACCCTAAACCCTAAGCCTTAAACCCTAAGACCTAAACCCTAAGGCCCAAACCCTAAACCCTAGACTCTGGGCTCCAAACCCTAGAGGCGCAACTGGGGGCTCTCGGCGGGCCGTGTCGTAGGATGGGCTCCGGTTTGGCAGGGGCTAGGGTTTAGGGTTTAGGGTTTAGGGTTTAGGGTTTAAGCACCACGGAGGCGAAGAGCTCTTCGGCTAAAGCCTCAGAAGGTCTTAGAGGCGCGTAGGAAGACATCCGTGCTGCAGTTGTTGCTGCTGCTTCTGCTGCCGCTCCTGTCGTTGCTGCTGCTGTTTCTGCTGCTGCTGTTGCTGCTGCTTCTGTACCTGCCTGCTGTTGCTGCTGCTGCCGGTACTGCTGCCTCCTTCTGCAACGGCAGCAGCTGAAGCGTGTGTCGGCGGCGGAGTTGCTGCTGCAGCTGCAGCAAATTGCACGGTTGAAGAATTTGACCGCTGCTGCTGCTGCTGCTGCTGCTGTGTTGCTGCTGCTGCTGCTGTCGCTGCTGCTGCTGTTGCTGCCGCTGCTGCTGCTGCTGCTGCAGCAACTCCCTAGGTGTACGCACACCTAAACAGTCTAAAGTTGCTGTTTGAATTTCATTTTATATTTTTATTTTATTTTTGTTATTATTTTTCTGCTGCTGCGGTTTTTGCTGCTGCGCAGCCGCAGCGAACAGCAGCTGCAGCCCCAGCAGCCCCGGCAGCCCCAGCAGCAGCCGCAGCAGCAGGAGCAGCAGCAGCTTTAGCAGCAAGACAGCTAACTAAATTATATTGTTTCTTTATTTCAGCTGCTGCAGCGCATGTATTTCACGGGGCCTGGTGCTGCAGCAGCAGGAACAAGCGGCCCTTGTGCTGCACAGGCGGCTGGAGCAGCAGCAGCAGCAGCAGCAGCAGCCAGTTGCTGCGGCACAGCCAACAGACACAGCTGCTGCTGCTGCTGCTGTAGGGTGGTCTACATACTACCTGCGGCTGCTGCTGCAGGGCGGTCTACATACTAGCTGCTGCTGCTGCTGCTGCTGCAGAGTAGTCTGCACACTAGCTGCTGCTGCTGCTGCTGCTGCTGCTGCTGCTGCTCTCGCTGAGTTGACGCTGAAGCAGCAGCGCAGCAGCTGTACGTACACCTCAAGGTTCCCTTGGTTCCGGATTTATTGAGGCAGCAGCAGCAGCTGCTGCTGCTGCAGTAGCAGCAGCAACAGCTACAGCAGCAGAACAGCAGCAGGAAATGCAGCAGCAGGTGGCAA